CTGAGGCTCTGTCGCTGAGAATTTCCTACGGAGGTGTCATCCTCATGTGTCCTGTGCTGTTGACTGACTCACAGCCCTGAGTATTTTACTCATAGTGTTCTGTTGCAGCAGCTTCATCGTTTGTGATTACATTGTTGCAACAGATACGTGTATTGGGGTGCTCCCCATTGTCTATTCTATACTTTTGTCTTAAATGTTTTCACTGTAGCTATTATACTATCATTGTCCTTGTATATTTTCAATCTGTACTGGGTTCCGACCTTGCATATTTTACATTATACTGTTGTCCTGGGCATTTTCACCATATTGTTATTATAGTATCATACTTTGGCAGAGTGTGTGTGTGTGTTTTATACTGTTGGACTGAGACCCTGTCCTAAGAGCATTTGACCACCAACTGGCCTCCCCACAGCAGCCCTTTCTCGATTTCTCTCTTGTCCACACATCTCCTGGGCGTCCTGTGGAGATTACTAGAATATTCTTGAGTGCTCCAGGGGTTCTGTTGGTTACACTGTAATAGCGCCTCTGCCAGGGGGCCACCGCATTGCACACCCCAGGCTGTGTATCTTGCAGGATTCTGTGCTCATGACGAGCTACCCAACTCCTTATAGATGACACACTGTCTCCTCCTCAGGGTCCCTCCCCAGGGACTCCCAGAGCTCCCTGGTGCACATTCACATTCAGCACTGAAGCAGCCCCTCACCCCCTGGGGACATGACCTTTCTTCTTTGACCTCACAGTCTTGTCTAACACCCCCATCCCCAGAGCCGTTTTCATCCATGCAGGTTCCACTCTCACCCCTCTGGTTCAGTCCCCCCACTCCACTTTCCGATGGCCCCTAGGGCCACTGGTGATGCGCCCAGCACCCATTTACCGGCCTACCCTACCTCATGTCACAGTTTGGACATGGCCTCGCTGGGGGCAGGGGCCAGGCCCCGAGTGACCGACGGAGGGGTCTGTGGCTGCCCTCTCAGTGGGTGGTCGCGGCGCCCGGCCCCGCCCCGGGAATAATCGCAGCCGGGTCTGGTTCCCGGCTCTGGTTACAGCAGCCCCGCAGCCGGCGGCTTCACTTAAGCAATTAGCCAGTAAAAATACCTGGGCCTGGGGAGAAGGGGGACATCGAAGGCCTGTCTGTTTTTACACCACCTCTTGGGGGGACCCCTGGGGCTGGGGGAACATGGAGATGAAGCCCATGGCGTTTCTTACGGATCTATGAATATTCCAGCTAACAGCGAACCCCCATTCCTGCCTTCCCCTGCCTGGGCTGTCTCTCTCTCTCTCTCTCTCTCTGTCCATTCCCACTGTCTGTGGTTTTATTTTAATTACTCCAATAGTGCTAGGAAATCGGGACCATGTTTCAGCTTCATTCTTTAGATGAAGAAATAAGGCATGAAGCTGCCTCCAGGGGCTGTGGGGACAGGACTCTGGCCCCTGTCTGTCATCCAGTCAGGACTGAAGGCTGGGCCTTGCTGACTGTGTCCTAGGACAGGAGGGTGGCCCCACTCCACTCTCATATGTAAGAGATGGTGAGGGGCAGTGCCAGCCTGTCGGAAGCTTCTGGAGAGAGAAAGCCAGCATTTAGGGGAGCTTTCTGTGGGGGCTTGTTCAGCGGTGACCCATGAAAATGACCCTACACATGCCTAAGTCTGCACTTCAGTGGGGGAGGGGAAGAGGGCGGCTGGTTTTGCAGGCTTCTCCCCAGAGAAAGTCCTCACACTGTCCCGGGTGGAGGCTGTAAAGTTTCTAAAGATGTGAGCCAGGGCCTGTACGCTGGAGGTCACGAGGCTGTGCCTGCCCTGGCTGCTGGACCCGCTGGCCAATGCTCCCTGAGCCTGGGAAGCCAGGGCCTCTTGGGGAGCTGTGACCCCACTCTCTTGATGCCTGTATCGAGCCTCCCAGGAGAAGACAATAAAGTCACACTCTGTTTTTGGGGTGTGGTTCGGTGGCTAACTGTAGGCAGAGCCTCACTGGGCCTCAGTTTCCCCACCTGAAATGTAGGCTTCGCTTCCCCCAGAGCGGCGAGGCCTGGTTAGGCGCCAGGCACTAGGGGAACGCTCAGTCACAACTAGTGGGGTTTTCTGGAATTGAGGGAGGGGTCCTCTGCAAATTACAGAGCTGGTTGTCAGCTGCCCTCCCTCCCACATCCCCGTCTTCCTCTCCCTCCGGGATGGAGATCAGGGCTTGGGGAGAGCCTGGCTGCGCACTCTGGAGGCTCCCAGCCCAGGGGCCCTCGCCGTGACGCCATGACCTTTATTCCCTAAGAGCGTAAGTGCAGTCAAGTGGCGCCCTGACTCCCTACAACTTCCCAAGAAGGTAGACACACACACCCCTACAGCAAGCACAACCTAGCAGAAGTCCCCAAAGGGAGCCGGGGAGGGACAGAGCAGTGCACTAAGGAGAAAAGGTGTGTAACTGCGGCTCTGCCGCGGGAGGACCTGCAGCGCCCTCCTCCGCCGCAAACTGCCCGGAGGACAGGAAGCCGAAGACGCCTTCCCTTTGGAGACACTACAGCAGTGGGACCGCGAGTGCGCACTGCACTCGGCTGACTGCGGAGCTAGGCGCCCTCGGGCTTCTACCCTTCTAAAGTCCAGATGTGCTCCGACCCCTTCTCAGGAGCTTCCCTCCCGACCCTCTCCCGCCTCTAAGCAGCTGCTGTTTGTGAAAAGAAAAAAAAAAGCGCTCGTGGTGTGTGTGTACGCGCGCGTGTGCGCATGAGAATGCGAGTGTGCGTGGACGTGTGCGCCTCGTGCGTGGGCGAGCGCGCAGTGCACAGGTCAGACTGCGAGCTGGAATCCGAGGGTGCCCGGCCTGCGCCCGAGCGAGGTGGCGTCCGGGGCTGGGTGCGAGTGGGATCCAGGAAAGCGTGCTGACCTGGCCTGCAGGCGTGGACTGTGCGAAGTAGGGAGCGCACCGCACTTAACAGCCACTGGCCACCGTCACCCTTCCCCAGGCCGCTGTCCGCTGAGTCGAGGCCGCTCAAGGAAGGTAACACTGGTCTTCTGCGAGCGCGACTCGGGAGGAGACGGTGAAGGCCAACTAGCTGCTGTTCGAAACCCCAACTCCTCCTCGCAAAGACGTGCCAGGCACCCCGACGACAACGAGGCGCCTAGGCGCGGAGGGGGGCCACCGGAGAGGGGACAATGAGGCTGAACAAACCCCAGAGGCTGGCGGGATTTGACTGGCGCTGCGAGGCGCAGAGCCTGATAACTTGCCTCTCGCCCAGTCTGCACGAGAGCAGGTCTGCAGACTCCCCAAATAGACCCGCGAAAACAACCCGCTTCCTCCGACCCCGAGTGCGGGCGGGCGAGGCCCTGCGATCGGCGCCAGCTACACTCACCGGTGCGTCCGCGCCGCTGCTCCAGCTCCCGCTCGGTCCTGCGCTGCGCCGGCGCCACCCCTCCCCCAGCCCGGCCTCAAGCCCCGCGCCACGAAGCCAGCGGCCCGGACGTGCGTGCGAGCCCCCGACGGGCGAGCGGCCAAGCGCTGGAGCCGCCCCGGCCTCCGGCTTCCCGGAACCTGGCGGGCGCTCGGTGTCAGGGGCCCCTCGCCGGCGGCAGGCCGAGCCCACAGGGGCGTCAGGCCAACTCCCCCCGCCCACGCGGAGCTCTATTATTATTATTAAAGAATCCCCCAGAATGTGTTTACGTTGGGCTGTGTAAACATCCGGCCAGGGCTTTGCTTCTCAGGGGGAAATGGGAACCCAGGTTGGGAATGTGGGGACTCCCGGTCCGCGTGGCCCGCACGCCGCTCTTCAGTGCGTGTGCGGAGGCAGGGGGAGCTCCAGGGTCACGAGTGGGCCGAGGCCGGAGCGTGCGGGCGCGTGCGGGCGGGGAAGTGGGAGAAGGCACGCTCTCGCGGGCTCAGGGAGGTGTGAATGCAAGGGAGTGAGCGCACACAGGCCTGGGCACCGGCGTGCGTGGGAGGCGCGCGGGCGTACGTGTGCATCCTGCGTCCGCGGGTTTACGAGGCTTGCACGCGCCTAGGCGCACGCGTGTGTGCATGAGCGCAGTGTATACGCGCGATCCGGGCTGCCTGTTCGCGAGCGCACAGGGCTGAGCTGCGGGCGAGCCGGTAGGTCTCTCCAGGCGGCGCCTGAAGCCAAGCGCCGACCACCGGGCTCTGCGCTTTCGTTTTCCGCCTGCGTTCGGTGCAGCAACTGCCGCCTTGCGAGCGGCTCAGCGTGTTGGCAAAGCCCCGGGCGCGGCGCAGCCCTTCCCGGGGCGGGGAGAGCGGTAGGCGGGCCCTCACGGAATTTACGCCCGCCAGCCGCGGGAACCCGGAGCCTAGCCGGCTGTGCGGGCAATGGGCACGACCCAGAGGCTGCCGCCGCGGCCAGCAGCCAAGCGGCTGTGCGCGTCGGGAAAGGCCGGGAGCCGGGAAGACGGGGGCCTGCGCGCAGAGGAGTTGAGACGTAGGGCCATAGCTGCCTTGACACTTGCCCCCAGGTTAGTGGAGGCAGGGCGGCGCGGGAGGGGACCCTTTAAGTGGCCGCCTGCGGGGGGGCTGTTGGGGGCAGGAAAGGGGGTACGTACTGGAGGGTTTTACGCCGTCCCCGAGACGCAGCGGGACCGAGCTCCTAAACCAGCAGCCTGGGTTCGTGGAGCGGAGCGCAGCGGGCAGCGAGAATGGAGCACCGCTTTACGGGCACGGGCGCACTACGAGACCCTACAGGCCGGTCTCCCCAAAAGTCTGGGGTTAGGGGCTTCCTCGCGGCCTCTGTCCAGGCCTAAGAGAAGCTGCGCGCAGCCTCCGCGGCCAGGCTCCTTCCCCAGTGGGAGGGCGCGAGAGAGGGAGGAGAGAGGGTGGGAGGAGTTGGCGAGGGGGCTCTGCGCCAACCGGCGGCCACTCGGGGAGGGCGGGCGGGGGAGGGTGAGCCGGGCGCTCGGGAGAAGTGGCCGCCGATGACGGCAGAGGTGCAGCCGGCCCCTCGCGCGAGCCCCCTCCCCCTCCCCTCCTCTTCCTCCTCCTCCTCCTCCTCCCGGCTCGCCGGCGGCGCAGAGCATCGGCAGCGGCGGCGGCGTCAGCAGCCACCCAATGTCTGCGGCGCCCGAGAAGCAGCAGCCCCCGCACAGCGCCGGCGTTGGCGGCGGGGGAGGCGGCGCGGCCATGGACCCCGCGTCGTCGGGCCCCTCGAAGGCCAAGAAAGCCACTGCGGGCGTCCGGCGCCCCGAGAAGCCGCCCTACTCGTACATCGCGCTGATCGTAATGGCCATCCAGAGCTCGCCCACCAAGCGCCTGACACTCAGCGAGATCTACCAGTTCCTGCAGAGCCGCTTCCCTTTCTTCCGCGGGTCCTACCAGGGCTGGAAGAACTCCGTGCGCCACAACCTCTCGCTCAACGAGTGCTTCATCAAGCTGCCCAAGGGGCTCGGGCGGCCCGGCAAGGGCCACTACTGGACCATCGACCCGGCCAGCGAGTTCATGTTCGAGGAGGGCTCGTTCCGGCGGCGGCCGCGCGGCTTCAGGAGGAAATGCCAGGCGCTCAAGCCGATGTACAGCATGATGAACGGCCTGGGCTTCAACCCCCTGCCGGACACCTACGGCTTCCAGGGCTCGGCTGGCGGCCTCGCGTGCCCACCCAACAGCCTGGCCCTCGAGGGCGGCCTGGGCATGATGAACGGCCACTTGCCAAGCAACGTGGACGGCATGGCCTTGCCCAGCCACTCGGTGCCCCACCTGCCCGCTAACGGCGCCCACTCGTACATGGGCAGCTGCGGAGGCGCAGGGGGCGGCGAATACCCACACCACGACAGCTCAGTGCCTGCCTCGCCCCTGCTGCCCGCCGCCAGCGGGGTCATGGAGCCGCATGCCGTCTACTCGGGTTCTGCCGCAGCCTGGCCGCCCTCGGCCTCTGCCGCGCTCAACAGCGGCGCCTCCTACATCAAGCAACAGCCCCTGTCCCCCTGCAACCCCGCGGCCAACCCCCTGTCCGGCAGCCTCTCTACACACTCCCTGGACCAGCCATACCTGCACCAGAACAGTCACAACCCGCCGGCCGACCTGCAAGGTGAGTGATGCCTGGGGCCTGGGCTCCCTTCCACCCGGCAAACCTCTGAGCCCTGGTTCCAGGGCCACTTCTGGGAGATGCAGGCCCACTCCTAAGGGGGCACCTCCCTGCCCATCTCCCCCAGAGGGTCCAGTGCAATTTATAGCCCAGGCTGTACCCAGAGGCACTGTTGACCTTTTTTTATCTAAACTCACTGACGAAGCTGCCTGAGCCTGGTCAGGTAGGCCTGTCCTTGCTAAGAAGGCCCAGACTCCTTCTGTGCTCAGTCTCTGTGGTCCCCGGGTCCCCTTGGGAGGAACCTTTTATGAGTAGGGGCCCCAGCCCTGGCTGGGTCTCCAATGGTCTCCTCCTTCTGGCTACAGGCAAGCCGCCGGGAAGAGCCTCTGTCCCTGGCTATGGCGGAGCCTGGCCTGAGCGGAAGAGTTAGGCCCCAGGCCGCTTGGCCGGCCCCAGGAGGCTCTGTGCCGGGCCTTTCAGGAGCCCAGCCTGACCGCTGCGGGCAGCCAGGTCAGGTCGGGACAATTTGTGGTGGCCAAGGTGGCAGGGCAGGGCAGGACTGGCCTTTGTTTCTCAGGACACAGGTTTTCAGAACCCATCAGCCTTCACTCCCAGCCTGGTAGGAAATGAGCTGCGGAGAAAACCCCCCACCCACCCACCCAGAACCACCGCAGCACACTTGGCTGCCCACAGTGGGGGCAGCTTGGACAGAGCTGAGCAGAGGCCTGTCAGGGGTCAGCTGTCAGCAGCAGGAGGCATTCCGCTCTCTCCTGGGTTTTGAGCCCAAGGTCTCAGGCAGCCGGCTCTCTCCTGGGCGCTGACTATGAAGAAGCCCTGCTCCTGGGAGACCTTCCGCCCAGAGGCTCCCCTTCACCCTGTGGGCTGCCACCCTCTCCTGGAACAGGCTACTCCACCTGCCCCCCCACACACCCAGCCGCTGGGGTAAAGAGGTAGCAGTCCCCACGCAGAGCCCAGGCCCAGGCTGTTCTGGAGGTGCAGGGCACAGGATGATGGGCCCCAGGTCCTCCCTGGCGTCTGCTTGCCCAGTGAGGCCTCCTCACCCTTCCCCTTCGACTGCTCCTGGAAGTTCCAGACCCCGGGTGGTGAGGCAGCCCAGGCAGGATGTTCCTTGGGAGCAAACACAGTGGAGGCTGGAGGCCAGCACTTGAGTGACCGGAGCCGCCTCCCTGCTCAGCAGTAGGCCCTGAGTCTCCAACCCTGTCCCCTGCCCGCAGGCCTGTCCCTCCCATTTCCAACCCTGTCCCCTGCCCACAGGCATCCCACGCTACCACTCGCAGTCGCCCAGCATGTGTGACCGGAAGGAATTTGTCTTCTCCTTCAACGCCATGGCGTCCTCATCCATGCACTCGGCCAGCGGCGGGTCCTACTATCACCAGCAAGTCACCTACCAAGACATCAAGCCATGTGTGATGTGAGGCTGCATGGAAGCCAGCCACTGGGCAGGCCTCCGAGCCCACGGCCCCGGCAAGAAACTGCTCTTACTCTCGAGGTATAACCAAAGGCAGAAGAAAGGGTCCGACCCCCTCCAAACCGGATTACGTGGAAAGGAAACCTCAAAGCAAAGACCCTCGCTGGGCCCCCACCTCCCACTTGCTGAAAATGAAGAGCGAAGCCAGCAAACAGACTGGTGCAAGGAGAGCCTGGCAGCGGAGGGCTGATGGTCTGGTCTAGATCCTCAGAAGGTCCTCCAGAAGGTTCTGTGCCGAGGAATCCCTGAAATCCACCCGAGAATTCTGCTGAGGTCCCCCCTTCCCCTCCAGTGGCCAAACTGCAAAGGCATTTTACAAGCAAACTTGTGAGACCAATTGTTATCAAATACCTTTATTTTTTGGTTGAATATTTATCTTTTTGTTGTGACTCCCCGCCAAGAACCTCTTGGAATGTGCAGTCTGTCTTCTGCAGGGGGGCGGCTGCCCTTCTGCAGAAATGCGAGTGGAGCTTTCTGTGAACAGTTACATTTCTGAAGCCACTGTTCGCCTTTTAGAAAATAGGAAGTTAAAGGATCCAAAAAGGAGTGGCCCTCGGCCTCTGTCCCTTGCATCCTCCTCTCCTCTCTGCTCACGGCCAGTCCTGTTTTGCTTTGAATGTTATTCCGACTCCTTCCCCTTCTTGTGCGTCTTCTCCTCTGTCTCTGGAGCCCCGCTGTCTCTCCGATTTCTACTGTAGCTTTGTGACCTCGGTGTGGGGACATGGGGACCTGGGAAGGCGCTGGCCTCGCGGGCTTCAGGACGCAGAAAGGTTAAGGCACTTTTTAAAACATAGCAAGGTTCATCCTGTTATTTATTCTACTTTCTTCCCCTGTAATCAAAACACCACATAGACACGTCCGTTTATCAGTATTAATGGTGTAATTTGTTGGCAATATTTGCCGTGTGGGTTTTATTTTTTTAAGATAGCCATTGTACATTTGGAAAAGTCCAATCTGTGTAAAAATGAGTCTCCATATGTGTTATATAAATCTATATAATGAAGGACTGCCCCTATTCATGTTTTAAGTTTCCTGGCTGCTGGGGTTGCAGGGTCTGTGACACGTATTTTAAAGTCCCTTCTGCACTGTATTAAAAAAATATCATTTGAGGATGTTTTACCTTTTGTGTACTTTTTCCTAAAAAATGAACAAAAAATAAAAATGTATAACATTTGTATATGGTCTTTAAAATGGTATCTACTAGGAATAAAACCACACGTGTTTCCGTGTTTCGTTTGAAATTGGGATTGCGGAAAATCTTCCGGACTCGCCTGCCACATGGACCAAGAAGTGCTTTCTGGAGTATGCACGTTAAAAAACCCAACAATTTGAAAAGCTGGGTGATTCTGGATATTTTTCTTTTATTTAAAAAAAGCTATTTTGTCTAACCTTTGTCTCCGGCCTTTACCTCACGCTAATGGGAAATCTGGACAGGAGTAAGTTTTGCACAGAACCCTCTGCCCCTCTGAAATGTCGTGTCTTGTTTAAAAGAAATAATCAGTTGGTTAAAGAAAACATGTGAGCCTCCTCCCCTGGGGGGAGCAGAGCGAGGACAGACACACAGACACACACAGACCTGGTCCAGTTGTTGGGTTGCTGCCTCGAGGCCACCAGTGCACCAGTGAGTGCATTTGCGTTTTCACCTTCCTAGCTTCTGGCTTGTGCTGTACATCGTGAGGCAGTTGGAGTTTGTTTTATGCCCCATACTTGGTTTTCCCCCCGTTGAGACTTGTAAAACTTGACCCCCAAAGCGAGGCTTCTGTTCCCATTATTAATCCGGGAGTGTCTCCCTCGGCTCACTGCCTTTTTCTCCCTGGGAGAATTTTTCTTTTTTAAGCCCTGCCTCCTGACCACCTTGGGTACCCATCTCCTGCTCTCGCTAGAAAACATCCTCACGTCAGGCTGCTGGCACGGGGTTGCAGACCCACCGCCGCTCCCTTCCGAGGTGGAGTCGCGGGTCCCGGGGTCTGGCTTCTCTCAGATTTGACATTTTGGACGTGGGGGTAATTTCTTCGGAGCTCTGTTACATCAAGATTATCAGTAAACTCACCCGGGGAATTCATGTCCCAAACGAACGGCTGTCTATAAAACCGAGATAAAAGGGGGCAGGAAACTTGGCGACTCCTCCGCCAGGCCTGCTCTCCGCTAGAGCGGGGTTCGCAGGGAACGGGAAGCCGGGAAGCCGCTTGGTGAGGTCTGAGGCCACCTCTCCTCGCCCCACCTCCCACTGGGCCCAAGAAGAGCCGGCGGGGGCGGGGAAAAGCCCCCAGACTCTTCCAGCGTGGGCCGCTGCGGATCTGAGGGCCCCTCCTTCTCCAATTAGGAGGATTGGAGATTGCTCCCCAATTAGGCAGGACGCTCGGAAAGTGGGGCTGATTAGGAGAAACCCAACTCCGACCCGTCCGTGCTGGACCTTGCAGGAGTCGTCAGCCTGCGCGCTTGCCCTGCTCCGGCCTCTTTTCGCGTGGAGGCCCCATGCGCCCTGGTTGTGCACGGCTTTTGGCGCCACTGACCTCGAGTCCCGCATCCTGTAAATTTGCGCAGCTGCGCCTTCGTGTTGGTGGGATCTCGCAGCGCGCACGTTCCCGCCCGCGAGTGGGGGCAGCTGGCCAGGCGTGCGAGTGGGTCCCAGGCGGGCTCGGCCTCTGTCTCGGGCCTATCCTCAGGCCTGAGGACCCAGAATGGCCAGATACTGCGGCCGAAATTGCCAGGGGCCGGAGCCCCAGATTTCCCCGCCGCAATTTGGAAGAGACAGCGCGCACTTGAGTTCTAGCTTTCTTGGGCGCTTTGGGGAGTGTGAGTGAAGCGCGGGCAGCCTGGGTGTGTGTGCCGTTCACCAGCTGGAGCTCTTACTGCAGATTCTGGGGCCCAGGGTGGAGGCGCTTGCTAGTGGCATGACCCGACGCCTGCCTATGAGTCTGTGCTGGAAAATCTCCGTCACTGTGTGCAGCATGTAGGTCAACCCAAAATCCTAAGTGCCCTACGAGGGTGCATGGATATTTTAGGGTTTCTGTGTGTTTGGTCCTTGACTCCTGAGCCTCTGTCGCCTCAGGCTCTTCAGGGGCTGGGAGCTCTGCTCAGGGCCACTCTGGGCCGCAGCAGCCGTAGTGGTAGAAAGGCACCCTGGGTGTGGGCCTGCCATGCCCATGCGCCTGCTTGCACTAGACAGGCCCATGGCACCCACTGTTCCCTTCTCTCCGTGGGGCAGGAGGGCAGGGCCAGGTGCGCCAGGCCTAAGCGGGGCCTCGCAGAAGAGCCAGGTCATTACTGCCAACTAGTAAACTTGGGTCACCTCTGACCCACGGTATCTTCATCTCTCCTAAGCCTGACCTGGGGGTGGGGGGACGGGGCAGTGTTTAAGGAGATGATACTGGAAGGCGCCTGTGGCCGTTTTGGGGGCTCCTGCAGCAACCCGATCAGACCCACCCTGGACCGTGCCTCACTGCCTGTGGTACGGACCCCACACGTACAGCAGCATATGTGTGCAGACCCCCAGCTTCTGACGAACAACCACCTGAGCCCCACTCTCTGGGCCACCAGCCCACGACCTCTCACCTCCCTCCACCCCGAAGAAGGAAGAGGAGACAGGATCATACCCTCAAGGCTGGGCCTGGACTCAGAATGAGACCCCCATTCCCTCCTCAAGTCTAGGACACAAAGCAGGTGGGGCCAGATCCAGGTGAAGGGGCCAGTCAGACCCACGTGGACCATGTGCGGCCGGGGGGGCTGGAGCCCCATAGATTCTCCACTAGAATCTGGGACACAGAGGTGGAACCCACAGTCCTGACAGGTTTCTAGGTACCCCAGCTCAGCTGAATGTTAAGGCTCGCCCAGAGCCTCTGCTGCCCTCTGCCGGCCACTGGCTGAGGGCCTGGCCGCCCCCTTTGCCGTTGGAAGGGGAGAGCGTGGAGCAGTGGCCGGCCACGTCAGGGGCAGCCCAGAGACCGCTAGGCATAAAGTCTGGGCCTGGCCCAGAATCACCTTGAGCTGCGTTTCTCTCTGCTTTTGGGAGTGGGCAGGACAGAGGCTCCCTGTCCTGGGCCAGCACAGCCTCACCAGAGGGCCTGCCCTCTAGTACCACTCGCCCCACACACGCTGACCAGTCCTCGCTGATGGCCACTACACTGCCCCTGGCCCCGGCAGGGATGAAAGCATTCTGTCAACCAGTGCCCTGCAGTTCAGACCCACCAGCTACTCCTCTAGAGATCGTCTCCTTGTCTGTCTCCAGCCTGGGCTGGTGGGCGTGACCCGCACACAGCTGAGCCTCAGTGGGGTTTCCGAGGCCGTAAATCACACAGGCGGAGATGCCCGTCTTTACCCATCAGCTGACCACCTGCCTCTGGGGTGGCAGAATAGCTCTTCCCTCTAGGCCACCAGCATTCGCTGGGTACAGACCAGCCTTGGACACCCTGTGGGACAGTTCCAGGCTGTGGGTCCCTGTGGACAGGAATGAGTTCTCATGATGCAGCATTCAAACACCTGAAGGTAACCTGAATATGAGGCAGTCTGCTCCCCAAAAGACAGCCTTGAGCATCTGCCTGTCCCACAGGCTGTGTGGCCAAGTCTGGGCTGAGCCGGCACCCCACTGTCACCGTTGGTGGTTGATCCTTTCCCTTCCAGCACCAGGGGACTTGAGGTCACTGTCTCCAGGCCAGATCTCCTTCCCACCACCCCTAGCACCGAGTGTGGACGGACCCCCAGAGGCAGGACCTGCTTGAGGCCCACGTCTGTGGTGACCACTGCAGCACCGACCTTTTACAGCCACAGGCCTCTGTCCTGAGTAGCTTTGAACACAGTCAGTCCCCCAGGGCCGTCCTGGGTCCACACGGGTGGGCAGAGCCCTGTCATCAGGGAGACAGTGGTCACTGGCATCCCTGAGAACTGAGGACAGCCACCATGGAGGGGGCCATGTCTAGGGCTCAGCCTCATAGAAGCGCACTGGACCCTCGCTGGAAGGTGAAAACTGATAGACATGTGGCCAGGTTTTAAATTCCTGAACAAGCCAGGGATTCGAACGCGCTGTCCAGCAAGACAGAGGGCACTGACTGAGTCAGAAGTTGTGCTGCAGGACCTGGTCAGATCACCGTGTGACCAGTAGGCTGCTTAGAGGTCAAGAGAAGGTCATTGGAGGAGAAATT